GTTTCTGTCACTGTGCGGGGGAGGGGCTGGGGGCAGCTCTAGGCAGGGACCCACATCTAAGATATTCCCTTGTGCTCCTGCCTGGTGGGAGAAAACAACTGTCCGGGATATGTCCACACAGCACAGGCAGCCCCGGTGTGAGACCAGGCCCTGGTTTCATCCACACACAGATCAGGCCGACTCAGCTCAGCCAGCGCCCGGGATTCTGCACGGGTCTGAGCCTGTGTCCTTGACTGGTGTGACTCTGGTTCCAGACCTGTCACTTTGCAGTGTGGATGCAGCACAAGCTGCAGACCCGTCAGAAGGTCTGTGCAGTGCCCTGCTGGGAGAGCCAGGGCCAGCAATTGCCCAGGCTCGGACATCAGTCCCCAAGCCGGGTCCCCCACAGCGTTCCTAGCGACTCACTGGCATGGCCAGTCCGGGTGTAGCTGCCAGGTGGCTGGTGGGGAGGCAGGTGAGAGGTAGCAAGAGGAGAATTCTAACTCGGAGGCATTTCACACCCCCAGGCAGGGGGCAGGGCTGGTACAAGGGGCTGGGCAGGGGAGGACCCAAGTCCCTGTGAGACTCCCTGGAGAAACTGCTGCAACTTCTGCCTCCTGCATTCCTTGCCCTGGACCATTTTATGACACAAAATTGGGGGCTACGGAGCAATTCCCCACCCTTACAGCCCTCCCCCACCCTGTATTAGTCTCCAGCTCTGTGTTGTGGGTACGTGATGAGGCCAAAAGCAGAAGTGTGGCAATTCCCTTCTTACACTTCCCCAATCGGCCAAACGGCCTGGAGGGGGGAAGGGACCGTGTGTTTAGCTGCCTTTGACTAGGGAACCATTTGCTGGGGGACTGACTGACCGAAAAGACATTTCCACTAAAGGGGCGGATGCTGTCGAGTCTGTTTCCCTCCAAAACCTGCATCTGAAAGCAAGCCTGGAAAGGGCAGCAGGCATAGGGAATACATGTTCATACAAGGCTCTGCCAACCTGTGGAACTCACTGCCACAAGATCTTATTAATCTTGTCTGAATCCTGCCCAGCTCTTGGCATTTATAGGGCTAATGGGACCATGCAGAATAATAACAATCAGTATTACACAGTAACATGGTGTATAACCAGTGGGGGTGAGGGAGGAATTGGTCCCTGGGGCAAGGGATCACTGGTAGCAACTCCATCATCAGACAAAACCAATAAGAGGTGGGGATCTGATCCCAATAGGATGCTGGCTCATTTTACCAGCTGGGAGGTTGGGCTTAGGGATTTCAGTGACACTGCCCCACCTCACACCCACCAGGGCCTCGCCTCACTCTCTGTCGGTGGAACTGGCCCCATCCAGCACACGCCTCCCTGTGTCTGTCAGGGGATTTGGGAGCCTGCAGCTCTATCTGCTCTACCTGCCAGTTTGGGGCTGGGCAAAGAAAACTCTTCAGTTGCAAAATCCTGAACAGGTTCAGCCGAAACCCAACAATTGTTCAGACCCGAACTGCTGAAAAGTGATGAATTGGGGGATTTCTAAGATTCCCAAGAAAAACTCACCTTTTTTGGGAAGTCCAGCTCTTCTTGCATAGGCCTGGTAGAAACCGATCCCTCAAGATTGCCACAGACATCCACGTGCAGGTACACACCCAGCTGAGTTACATGAACTGTCTCCCAGCCACTCACAAACTCACAATGGGGAAATTCCAACCAGTTCCCTCCAGCACCCCAGCCTTTTTAGCAAAGCACAGCTGTTCTCTTCTGCAGGCCCCAATATGGACAAACTAAGGAGTAAAGGAGGCAGTCATGGTCTGTGCTTAGAATTACAAGAGAGATCTAGTGCAGCTGTTCTTCCGGTCTGTGTGTCACTCCGGAGCCCAGACAGTCTGTACAGTCAGGGTACGTCTACACTAGCCCCCTAGTTCGAACTAGGGAGGCTAATGAGGGCAACTGAAATTGCTAATGAAGTGCGGGATTTAACTATCTCGTGCTTGATTAACTTAATCCCAGCTGGTTGCCATTTTGGAAAGTGACTAGCCCAAAGTAACTGCCCGTCTACACACGGCAGAGAAGTGGGATTCCGAGATAAACCCCTTAGTTTGAATTCACTGTTAAACCTCATTCCACAAGGAGTAACAGTTAATTCGAACTAAGGGGTTTATCTCCAAACTCCTTGTCAACGCTCCCAACTCCTTTCCAAAGCTCCAAACTCCCTCCCAATGCTCCAAACTCCTTCTCAACTCTCTTCTCTTCCACCAAGCCCTTTAACCTGCTCTGTCACAGGTGTAAAAAGTACAAAAATAATAAAGCACTATCAAACTTACAACAAAAAAATCAGTTTTCTCCAAATTTTAGTGGTGTGGATGTACACCACCCCCCCTGATTTCTTTCAAGTATCCCTATTAAGAATGTTAAGAAGCGGGTAAGTAGCTGTAGCTTCAAAGTAGAAACAGGTGCCTACAGCCAAAGTGACAAAACTGACCAGGCACCAGGCACACCCAGCTGAAAGTACACAAATGCTGATCCATCATCTGATTTCATTCTAGAGTGTTTGTTTCTTCGTTTTCTCATTAATAATAGCAATAATCACATCTCTGTGTTGTTCAAATGAGAATCATGGCAAATGTCCCCCTTTGACAGATAATTAAGGCAAAGAGACTTGGGCAGTATTTCTGGCATGCCCGCAGCTGCCAGGCTCCACCCGAGATGCAGATGCATTTCGGGACAAACGGAGCCACCCTTGGCTGCCTGTTATCCAGCTGAGGTCGCCCCGCTGCAAAATGCAGGCAATGACCATTGTAGAGGGATGGAGTTGCACTGTTGGAGTATAAAGTGCACTGGGAACTATTTTGTCTCCAATAGTCTGTTGTCTAATCAAGCCTCAGGATTTTCTGTCTGGCGTCTACAAACAACGCCCCTCACTGGTGTCTGAGGGCCTGGGATTAACCCAGTTCACTTTAGAAAGAGAGGGATATTAATGGTGGACCCCCCCCCCCCCCCGG